ACACCCTGCCACATCCAGGGTAGGGTGGTGTGCTTGACTCCACTTGAGAATTATTAGGGGATTTTAAAAATACTGATGCCTGAGCCCCACCCCCAGAATTCTGATTTCATTGATCTGGGATGCAGCCTGGGCAAGGAATTTTGTGTGTGTGTGGGGGGCGGGGGGGGAGTTAGTAGATTGAACAAGACAGAAGCTGATTTTTCTTCCACCTAAATGTCAGCATAGGGCTGCTGGGGCTATTCTGCTCCCCAGAGTCAGCAGGGCCTCAGATTCCTCCAGATCACTGGGCTGTAGGAGCGAGACAGCAGCCATCGCAGCCATCACAACCCCGGTCCTGCTGCAGGACAGAGGAAGGATGTGAGAAAGGGGGCAAAGGGTGCCGTCCCTGGGCGGGAGCAGCCACATGACACTTGTCCTCACTTGCTATCACCAGTCCTGGCTCATATATATGGCCACACTTAGCAGAAAGAGAAGTGAAGAAACAGGTTATATATGGGGCAGCCCAGGGGAAAAGTCTATCCCCACAAGAATAGCTATTGGAGGACAATTAGAAGTTTCTGATGCAAATTCCCAAAGGCTGAAACTCGACATAGAAATTTTCAAAAGCTCCTCAGGTGATTGTAAAAAGAGTCAAAATAAAGAACAGCCATTCTGAGGGGTTGGCAAGGCAGGTAGGGATTAGGGGTACCTTCCCTGGCAAGCCCCCTCAGAGAGGAGGAAAAAGCTGGGGCTGGGCCTGGGGTACCCCTGTGGGTGGCCCTGCTACGGTAAGGGGCTACTGCTCCCTCTTCTCTGCCCCTCAAAGGGGAATGAATCCTTGAGCATCTATAGTGGGTAGAGCACAACTGTCACAGCAACCCTGTGAGACTGGAGCTATTATACTCCCATTTCACAGAGGAGGACAACTGAGATTCCGTTCAGTTCATTGAAAGCGCTGCCCTGGGTCACATAGGCAAGTAACACAAAACTGAGGTTGGAATCCAAGTCCGAGAGGCTCCCACCCCCTCCCACTTAGAACCACACTTCCTGTCACTGACCACAGAATCTCCACAGGTACAAAAATGACATGCGAATTGATCCTCGCCTCTTTCCAGCTGGGAAGTACCGGATCACCAACAACTACGGGCTGTTGACCCTGGAGATTAGGAGGTGAGACTGTGAATCCGGAGGGACCCATAGCCCCCAGACTTCATCACCATCAAAGCCAGAGCAGGGTCCCAAGCTTTCTCAGAGCTGTGTCCTCAGCTTGTCTCACCTTTAGAAGTATCTGGGGTGCTGGTCAAAATGCTGATTCCAGGGCTGAGCCCTCTAGAGGTTCAGATTAAGTAGCTCTGGAGTGGAGCCCGGGAATCAGTATGTAATAGGCACTCATCCTGTGTCGTTCCAATGCCTTGGAATACACTGAGACACGCAGACTGAGATTTTTTTTTTTTTTTTGAGACAGAGCCTCAAGCTGTCCCCCTGGGTAGAGTGCCGTGGCATTACAGCTCACAGCAACCTCCAACTCCTGGGCTCAAGCGAGTCTCCTGCCTCCGCCTCCCAAGTAGCTGGGACCACAGGCGCCCGCCACAACGCCCGGCTATTTTTTGGTTGCAGCCGTCATTGTTGTTTGGCGGGTCCGGGCTGGGGATTCGAACCCGCCACCTTAGGTATACGTGGCTGGCACCTTAGCCGGTTGAGCTATAGGCGCCGAGCCCAGACTGAGATTTAATAGCAAGTGCTGAGCTGAGAAAGCAAGGTGCTAGCGTACAGAAAACATACATATTCACAAACGCATACAAACAGACTCACACACACGTGTGTACATACACACACATGCGCAGAAGGAAGCAGAGAGGAGGGTTGGGTCTTTCAGTAGATGGCTTAAGCATGAGTCTTAAGCATGATTTTGGAGGAAGAGGCAGGCTGCGTGGAGGGCATTTAAAAGTACAATCCTCCAAATATACGTGTCATTCATATGAACTACTGTATATTGAGGTCCTCCTGGTATCAAGCCCTGTGCTAGGTGCTTTGTGTGTAAGATCAGTAATCCTTACCAGCCCGCCCACAGGGAGGCATGGTCATCCCACGTCGTAGGGAAGAGACAGGCTCTGAAAGCAAAGGGTCTTGCACAGCTAGCACCAGGCAGGGCCTGGGTTTGAGCCAGTTCTCTCGATCTGGATTGTTTTCAAAATACCAAGCCCTCCATCTCAACCAACTCTGATTTCAAAGTCACAAAGATGAATAGGACATTTGCTTCTCAGAAGCAAAGTGGGGCTACATGGTTATAAATACCCGAGCATGCAAAGTAAAAACAGGGAGGTGCCCCATGGGCTGCACAGTCGGGAAGGTGTGCGGGCCAGGGAGCCTCGAGGGGCAGATGAGGCTGGCCCTTGAAGCAGAGGGGATTCCTGCCCTGAGTGACCAGGGTAAAAAGGAGGCACCGTGGGGCCTCTGTGCTTGCTGATGGGGCCAGATATGCCACATGCTACCACCTACTCTCTGTCACCAAGGTGCCCCTGGGCTACAGCTGACCTAAGCTTTCTCTGGGAACATGACAGGGTTGGCTGAGAACATGTGGGCTTCTGGGCCAGTTCTGTGCCAATCGGCAGTGTGCTTCAGCTAAGTCTGTCTGGTTCTCTGTGTTAAAGGATGAGGCTCGTGCTCCAGAATTCTAGTTTGAAGCTGGGTTGGATTCCAGTTGCTATGTGACTCTGGACAAGTCACTTAACCTCCCTGATCCTCCAGATTCAGCAGTAGCAATGCAATGTGGCACATCGTATTTCTGAAGCACTTTTCCCTGAGGTGGTTTAGGTGGTGTTATATCCCTAGTTTTTCAGAAGACATGGAAACATGGAGAGGTGCAGTCACCAGCCCAAAGACACACAGCCTTTCACAGGCAGTGCCCAGGTCTTCCCTTTGCACCATGAGGCTTTCCTTTAACCCCTAGCCTTTCCCACAGAGGACTTGTGGGGACTTGTGTTTCCTGCGGAGCCCAGCAGTCTCAGAGGGCACCTTCTCCCTCTCTCCTTTTTTTTTTTTGGCCGGGGCTGGGTTTGAACCTGCCACCTCCAGCATATGGGGCTGGTGCCCTACTCCTTTGAGCCACAGGTGCCGCCCCTCTCCCTCTCTCCTTTTCAGATGTACCCTTGAGGACTCAGCCACCTACACTGTGAAGGTGAAGAATGCCTTTGGCCAGGCCTCCTCCTTCGCCAAAGTCCTTGTCCGCAGTGAGTCCTCCCATCCCCAACAGGCCAGCCTGGACCACAACAAACCCACATGGAGCAGAAGAGGACATGGGTCTGTTTCCGACCCAAGCAAGGACTCCAAACACAAGGGTGTTTAGCCTGACATTGGGTGGCCAAGGTAGCCATGGAGACTCCCACTGCCCTGAGGGCCTTTGGAGCCAGTGAGACTCTTCTGTCTCAGCCTTGCAGGGACAGCACTGCCAGCTTTGGAGGTGATGTTGTGAGGCATGGGTGAGGCAGGATCATCTTGCTCCTGTAGACAGGTGCCAAGAGCAATTAGGATGAGAGGGGAAGGGAACTGACCTTTTTGAGCTCTCATTACATACCGAGCACACTTAATAGTACCTGATTCTGTCCTGAGTTAGCTGGTGACAGGACTGGGACAGAACTCAGCTCTGTCTGCATGGAAGGCACCTCTGTGTGAACTGGATGGACGAATTAGATAAAAGGGGCCCCTTCCTCCAGGCAAAAGTAGCCAGGACACATGGCTTGGCAAATGGAAAACAGACTGGATTTCAGCCACCACATCCCCTCTCTGAGGACACCTTTGTGCAGTGTGCAACTTATACAACTGTTTAAGGCAACCCTACATGCCTGCCATGCTAAAGAACATGCTTATCCCACCAGTTTGGACTTAGGTCTGGATCCAGCTCAGAGCCTCCGGGAGGATAGTGTGGCCCTGCCAGCCCTGCTGACGGGACCTCAGGGACAAAGGCCAAGCCCCACCAACTCCCCACCTGACTTCCACTGCCCCAGTTGGGTTCTGGTGCATACTTCCCAGTAGTTGGGCTCAGGCCCTTCCTGGAGATTACCTTGGGGGCATTTAAAATCATAGCAGGGGAGCAGGGGATACACGAGTCAGCCAGACCCAAGTTCACATCCTAGCTCTGGCACCTGTGCAAACCTAGGAAACCCCTTCACCTCTCTGAGCCTATTTCCTCGTCCGTGAAAGGGGGAATCCTATCACCTCCCTCAGAAGCTCATGTTGGTTTAATGAGATGATACGGATAAGCTTGGCTTGTGATAGGCTCCTGGGAAATAATAACTTACCCCAACTATAACCAGGGCAGAGCACTGCCCAGGGGGCCACACTTCTGGACCCTTGAGAATGCTATGCTTTGCACTTGGGGCCCCTGGGAGAGAGAAGCTCCCCCAGCCCCTCTCACCCCCCCCCCACATATACACTCTAAAGGCATCTGTCCTGGGCTGCAGACAGGTGGAGTCCAGCCCCCTCCTTGCCTCTCATCAGACCTTGTTAAACTGTCCTGCACGGCCCTCTCCACCCTCTGCCTTATTCCCCAAATAGCTCTCAGGAGGCAGCTGTCCCCACTGCCAGGCCAAGCTCTCTGTGTGGAAATCTGAGCTGTCCCCATAGGCTGTGCCCAGAGTCAAGCGCAAGGTCAGGCATTGGATTCCCACCTCTCTCTGTCCGCCCATCCTTCCCATCACTTCACGCAGATCCCTGTCCCTGTCCCTGCCTCCTCCAGGCCAGCAACTCTAGGATCCCTGGCCTTATTCTTGGCTCCCAGACTCCAGTAACTTCCTGCTGAGAGCATCTGCTCAATGCCACCACCACCATCTCTGCTCCTACCTCCGTAGCAACTTTGGTGGTCTTGGTAAAAGGCTCTAGGCTGGGAGGCAGGAGCCCTGGGTTCCAATCCTAAGACTTCCAAGACTTCCACTTATTTTCTGTGAGAGCTTGGGCAACCTCCTGCCTCTCTCTGGATGTCACCCAGGAAGGACCTTCCCAGGGACCAGTGTCATATCATCACTCTAGACCTCTGGGACATTAGCTGGGTGACTCTGCCTCAGTTTCCCCATTGGTATGAGAGGGTAATAGGGCATATACAGATAGGGGGCTGCTGGCATGTGACAAGCACTTTGAGAGTGACAGTTATTATTATTCTCAGGTGATCGGTATCAGTATGACATTGGATTTCACCCTTCAGCCCCCAGGCAGCTCTCTCATTGCTCCCCTCACCCCTCTCCCTGACCCACCAGCGATCTGCAGTCTCTAACCAAGTTGAACCTCTGTGAAGACAGGGCATGATCCTGGTGGCCAGTTTGGATAGAAGAAGGAAACCAGCATTTATTGAGCACCTACTGTGTGTCAGGCTCTGGATGAGAGCTTTATTCATGTGAACTAATTAACTCATAACCCCACATCATCAGATAGGAATTATTGTCCCCATTTTACTAATGAAGAAATTGAGGCAGGAACAGGTGAAAGAACATTTCCAAAGCCACAGGGGAAAAACCAGAGAGATCAGGACTCGAACCCATTCCCAAAGCCCATGTCCCCAAAATATAGTAGGAATGTGCAGTCTGGGCCTTCTCCAACTCCACTTGCCTTGGGTTTTCAGCTTACCTGGGGAAGGATGCTGGCTTCGATTCAGAGATCTTTAAACGTAAGTAGGCTGGTGTGGGGCTTGGGAGGTACTGGGGACTCTGTTCAGGTTTTGGCCTCCCCACAGTCCTTTTTTATAATACATCCAACCCTTACCCACAAGGATGTCCAGTTGGGGTCTGTCTGTGAGCTGGTAATACTTGTTCACTGGCTTCATGGAGTCCCAAGGTAGCCCCAAGCTGCCCCCTACTGCTCAGCTGTCCCCTGACCAAAACTGGGTTAAAAAGGCAAAGCCCAAAGGCACTTAGCTTTCAGATATTTGCTGTTCTGGTTTTTCTGGTTTTCACCTAGATAAGTTTCTTCTCCTCCACCCCCCCACCCCCCCTCCCCCGCCCAAAGCTAGGTTTCTCCCAATCAAAACTAAGAGGAGAGGGGTTGCCCCAGAAGGATCCTGGCCCCCATCTAAGCTCCCAGCCACCCTGGCTATCTCAAAAACCTCTGCCCCCAATTTTTATTCCCACCTCAGGATCGATGTTTGGACCCAAAGTGGAATTCACATCAATGCTGAAGCCAATCTTTGCCCGTGAGAAGGAGCCCTTCTCTCTGTCCTGCTTATTTTCGGACGATGTATTAGACGCTGAGCAGAACATCCAGTGGTTCCGAGATGGTGAGGACCCCGGTCCTGGACCGCAGCCTCCAGAGGCAGCCCCCTCTGCAGCTCAACTCAGATCCAGACAGGCTGAAAGCCAGAGTGGGACTAGAGGCCTGGCTCCATCCCTGATTCAGGAACCCCCCAATGGCCAGGGATTAAGCTATGCCCCCCTCCACAGGGTGCTAAGGAGGCAGAAGAAAGTGGGCACATAGCCAGGTGGGGTCAGCCCCAGGCAAAATGGGGTAAGCCACGTTGCCCCACAAATGGCCATCACACATCTGTGGGGTGTTAGTCCCTGTACCGGGGCTGGGGCGCAGGGCGGGTACAGAGGCATGTGAGCTCAGGGAGGAGGGAGGAAGCCATCAGTACTAGCTACCCACATCACTGCCACCCTAGCTTTGAGTGGTGGCATTCGAAGCCATGGCAACAGAGACTAAGGGTAGGAGACAGCAGGGGGCAACTTGTGACAGTCACATGTGGCTTTTCAGAAGCAAGGTGGGGATGCAGAGTACATAACTCAGGGCTTATAGGCTGGGATGCCTCTGGGGTTATCACTGGGAAGGGCCGGGGAAGGCTGGTCAGCCAAGGCAGGAAGAGGGCAAGAAGGGTGTCCAGACCTGCTGCCCCGACCTGATCAGTTTGTAGCCAAAGGACAGGAACATAGCGTCCCTCCTGCTGCCCTACCACCGAGCCCAGGAAGGACTGCCTGGGGGGGCTGGGGACCCGAGGAGCCCTGACAAACAGCTGCAGAGTTTCCCAAAGGCTGAGATGTTTTCCCAGGCCTGCAGATCTTCCAGAACAGAAGAGGGAGGAGACTTTGTGTGAGACAAATAGGAGAGATGGCCCCATGGCATGGCCTCAGGGCAGGGCCCATTCCCTGAGTCCCAGGGTCCCTTCCTGGGTTCCTCCTCCTCACTAAGCTCCCCGACACCAGCTCCCACCTGCCTCACTGAGACCCCCCTCTCTCAATGAGACCCCAGCCCCTTCCCTGAGCCCCCACTCACCTCAATGAACCCCCCTTCTTTGACTCCCTCAACCCTATAGAGGCCCCATCTCTTCTGTTCCCACTCCCTCTCAGAACCTCCACCCCCACTCTGGGCCCTATCCCCACCCCCAAGCCTTCTGCAGAGGAGAGTTCAGCTGCCACCCTAGCAAAACCCTGGAGGCTGACACCCCACCCTGAGCCTCAGGCTGCAGCCACCCAGCCCTGCCCTCTGCCTGGCCAGGACCTGTAGACCCCCAGAGCTTCTACGGGCTCCCAGCTGAGGCCAGGGTCCCCCATAAACTCACACTAAACCTCCTTCCCCTCTACAGGGAAGCTGCTGAGGTCCTCAGGTCGACGACAGGTTCTCTATGAAGACCGCCAGGCATCCCTGAAGGTGTTCTGCGCCTACAAGGAGGATGAGGGGCTCTACACGATCCGGGTGTCCTCACCCCGCGGGTCCCAGGAGCAGAGCACCTATGTGCTTGTGAGAGGTGAGGGGGTGGGGGCAGGTGGCAGCTGAGCCCCAGAACAGGCCTCTGCACTTGGCTTGCTGTGGGACCTCAGTTTTTCTCCCAGAAAATCAGGACATTGGGTCTAAGAACCTCTGTGGTACTAGGTGACCCTCTAAGACAGCGGTTCTCAACCCACAGGAAGTAAATTAAAGGGCTGCGGCATTAGGAAGGTTGAGAACCACTGCTCTAAGAGGATATGGCCTGAGAAACAGACTGGCTGGGAGGCAGGGAAGGGGGGCAGAGCGTGGGGCTGGGGTGATTCTGGCCACTGGCTAAGCTCTGCCTCCTGGTTTCTTCACTCGATCTGGATTCAAATCCTGGTTTTGTCTCTTTACTAGCTGGGTGACCTTGGACAGCTCAATCACTCACCTCTGCAAGACTCAGTTTCCCCATTTACAAAGTGGAGGGCTGCTCTGGGCTCAGAAATTAATTATGCCAATTATTCAGACGCTTAGTGGAAAATGGGCCCTTAATAATTGGTACTCCCTAGCTTGGCACCTGTGGCTCAAGTGGCTAAGGCACCAGCCACATACACCTAAGGTGGCGGGTTCGAATCCAGCCAGGCCTGCCAAAACAACAATGACAGCAGCAACCAAAAAATAGCCGGGCATTGTGGTGGGCGCCTGTGGTCCCAGCTACTCGGGAGGCCAAGGCAGGAGACTCGCTTGAGCCCAGGAGTTGGAAGTTGCTGGGAGCTGTGATGCCGCAGCACTCTACCCAGGGGGATAGCTTGAGGCTCTATCTCAAAAAAAATAATAATAATAATTGTTACTCTCCCCTCCCAGATGCTGCTGTCTGGGGGGCTAAGGAGGCTGGTATTCAGGCCCTAGTTCTCAACATCAGAACTGTGCCCCTGAGGGGATAATGAGAGGAAGGTATTGGGCAGGAGTGGAAAGGGGCTCATTACCAAGTGGCCACTGACTGGCAATGCCCCCTCCTCTTACCCCTGGGTTCCAGATGCTGCACCTGAAAATCCAGGGGCCCCAGGGGCCCCACTGAATGTTCAGTGCCTGGATGTGGACAAGGACTGCCTCATTCTGACCTGGGCCCCACCCAGTGACACCCGGGGCAGCCCCATCACTGCCTACTCCATCGAGAGGTGAGTCAGTCTCTTGAGTGGCACAGTCCCTAGGGGCAGAATTCTGTCTGGGTATGGGCCCACAGCAAAGAGGGGGCCCCAGGCCTGGCCTCTGAGATTGCCATCCCACACTGTTCCTTGGAATAGGGCAGGAGAGAGACATGCTGTATCATTTAGGAACAACAGGAGGGCATCCATGCCCTCAAATCCCACTGATGCCTGGAATCCCACCACTGGGGACCAGCCATTGCCCTCTGCACCCTCTACACGAGCCGACCTAGAGGAGCAAGACGGTCAAGTGCTAGAGGCCTGAGCACATGTGAATTTGTTGGCCGTTTTTCTTCCTGAATGGCAGAGTTGGGATAGCACTGACCCCAAGGGAGAGGAACGCCCCAGGAAGGGGAAAGGAGTCAGAGGGCCCAGAACCTCCCACTGTATTGCCACACTGCCGCCTCTGAGGCCCCAGCGGGAGAGGACACCCAATCCCACCAGCTCCCCTGTGGAGTGCGGGGCGGCACTAAGGGCGTGTCTCGTCTCTTTTCATCCTTACAACCACCCCATATAAGGGGAAGGTGACTTTGCCCACAGTCACATTCGCCGTGAGTGGTGGAGACAAGAGTTGGATGCATACTGACCACTGCCCTCCCACCCCCAGTCAGTAATGTTGTGCTGCCTGAGAGGGTGCAGAGAGCCCAGGCTCCCAGGGTCAATCTGGAACCCGCTCTGACATAAAGAGTGGACAGCTCTCGGGCAAAATCTCAGTTCTATGAGCTGTGTAATCTCGGGCATGTCCTCTCCCTCTCTCGCTCTCTCTCTGAGCCATGAACCCCTACATATAGCGTGGAGGAGGCTATACCTGGCTCCGAGGGCTATGGGGACATGAAGTGGGACCTGGGTGTGGAGGGCAGAGCACAACCCCAGGCTCACAGGAAAGCTCATGAGGGGCACTGGCTGTGTTGGTCAGTGCCAGGGTCAGGGTCAAGGACAGTGAAAAGGCCTCCAGGGGGGCCTGGGGTTGGAACGAGGCTCTTCAGTTGGAGAGCAGGACTTTAACTGGCAGAGATGGGCAGGGCAGGGCAGGCAGCCGGGGTCAGAGTGTGATCCGGGGAGAGGCTCAAACCTGGAAGGTGTGCATCTTGGACAAGGGCTAAAAGCTGGGGCTTGTCTTCCTCCACAGGTGCCAGGGTGACTCCAAGGAATGGGTGCCCTGCCATGAGGCCCCCGGAGGGACCTGTCGGTGCCCAATCCAAGGCCTTGTCGAAGGCCAGAGCTATCGGTTTCGGGTGAGAGCCATCAACAGGGCAGGCAGCAGCCTCCCCTCCAAGGCCTCAGAAGCTGTTGTCATGGGTGACCGTGATGCAGCCCAGAGAAAGACAGGTGGGTACAGAGGTCTAAAGGGACAGAGCATCAGTCAGGGCATCCCCAGGACTGCCTCCCACAGGAGGCAGCTCAGCCCACAGGACCCCCAGCCTGATGGAGGAGACACAGTCTAGTCCTCAGGAACCCCCAGGCTGATGAAAGAGATACAGCCAGCCCTCAGGAACCCAGTCTGTTGGAGGAGACACAGTCCTGCCCTCAGGATCCCCTAATCGGAGGGGGAGGATACAGCTAAACTGAGGGAGGACAGCAGCACCTTCTTCAGGATGGCCTTAATCTCAAGGAGAAAAACAGCATTGCCCTCGGGAGCCCCAACCCAGGGCAGCACGTGCCTAAGCCACGTAGTGAGGGCCAGGGGCTGCCAGGCCAAGACCAGGTCAGGCCAGGATTCAGAACCAGGAGCAGGGTCTGACTCCTCCTGCCCCCCACCCTCAATGCTCCATTCTCATCCTAGAGATCCCCTTTGATCTGGGAAACAAGATCACGGTCAGCATGGATGACTTTGAAGGTATGCGGGGGGACCCTCATCTCCTACGTAGTTCTGGAAACTCTGGGACACACACTGGCAAAGGGGCAGAAATTGTCCACATGCAGGGTGGGGGGATGCAAAGGTGAGTGGGGTGTAGTTGGAGGAGGCCAGGGTGTCATGGAGGAGGTGGCATATTGGGAAAAGGCCTGGATGGGACATCAGGAGACCTGGGTTCTGACCCTGGCTCTGCCTCACGTTGCCAGCTGACCTGGAGCAAATTCCTGCCTCTGTGGAACGAGAGGCTGAGGTGAGGGGTCTCTGAGGGCCCCCAATCTCTGCCCCAATGACTCTGATTCCAGATGCTGTGATCATCCCCTCACCCCCAACCAATGTCCACGCCAGTGAGATTCGAGAGGCCTACGCGGTTCTGGCCTGGGAGGAACCGAAACCCCGGGGCAAAGCCCCACTGACCTATTCCCTGGAGAAGGTACAAGACCCCCAGGACCCAGCCCCAGGCTGGCCTAAGAAAGGATTATACTGTGGGGCAGGGTGTGGGAAGGGCAGGGACTGCTGAGACCCCAGGCAGTGTTCCCTGAGGAGGCTTCAGAGAACAGAAGAGGATTCCCTGCCTGGAAGGGCTTGAGCATGGCCCTACAGAGAGGCAGGACAGATGGAATGGCCCTCCGAGGTTACCTCCAGCTCTGAGAGGCCAGTCACTGCTGCCAGCTCTCAAGGTTGTTAATGGAAATATGCAAAATTAAGAGGCACACAGAATAATAACAACAGTAAGATCCACCATATCCTGGGTATCTCCCCATCCCCAGAGCTGGCATCAGGGTCATTGACTGGGGACAATGTCGGAGGCAGGGGAGACCACACTGGGGGCAGGGCAGCTCTTGTGGAGTAGACATCACAGTGGAGGGGAAGCCATCCAGCAGAGCAGAAGACAGCAGGTTGTTATGATTGATTCAAATCCTGACTTCTGCTGGGTGATCCTGAGTTAGATTCCTAATTTCTCTGAGCCTCAGTTTCCTCCAGCATAGAGCAGAGAACCTCCCCTATGAGGATGAAAGAAAACACAGCCCATGCCTGGGACCAGCAGCCCAAGGAGGGGTCCTTGGCTGCTATCTCCCTAAAGTCAGAGACCAAGTTTATCTTCTCCTTACTTGCCGGGCCCAGTGTAGTGCCTGACACATACTAGGTACACAGTAAAGGTTTAGTCAATAAACAAGTTAAAACCTTCCAGAAAGGAATCTCCAGCTCTGGCTGAGGGACCATCTCTGGTTAAAACCTTCCAGGGAGGAATCTCTGGCTCTCTTTCTACACTTGCATAGGTCCTGTTTCTCCGACGCAGGAAAGCTATAGATAATCAAGGATTTGTTTAGTGTAGACCAAAATGATAAAGACCTTGAAGTCAGACAGCTTGGATTCAAATCTATCTCTGCTACTAGCTTTGTGACCTTGGGCAAGTTATTCGGTCTCTCTGTGCCTCGGTTTCTTCTTCTGTAAAATGGCAATAATATTTTATATGCAACTTATAAGGCTAACGTGAACATCCAGTTAATTCAAACACATAAAAACTTAAGAGTAGAGCTTGGTGCACACTAAGTGTTCGGCAGTGTTCACTGTTTCTTGTGGCAATTTCTTGGCCTAGCTGGGTTCTCGGCCACTGACAGCCAGGTGGACCTTAGGAGGGAAAAAAACACAGAGGGCAGAATCAGTGGGTCCCCCTGGTGACTTTGGGTGTCAGCTCTCATGCCCGGATTCAGCAGAAGTAGCCTCACTCACCAGCATCACCCTGGGCTCCTTACCCTCCATCTGTCCGGAGCCTTGGGATTTATGGCTGGCTTTTGAGTCCCCGCTGCTGTGGATAGTGACCAGAGGAGCCACCCACACCTACATTTAAATATCATATTCTCCAAATATTAGGTGAATGAGTTCTGGCCAAGTTACCAAACCTCTCTGAAGCTGCGTCTCCTCCTCAGTGGGGAAATGAACACCGTCCTTGCCGGGTAGAAACACAGATGGAGCACCTCCCATGTGTCAATACTGCCCTTGGCCTTGAGGACACAGCAGTGGGTGGTGGTGGGGGATACTAATGATAAACAAGTAAATCAGTGGACTATTAAGCACAATAAGTAGCGGTAGGCACTAAGAAGAAAAATACAGGCAGGGAAGGACATTGGAAGCAGAGGAGGAGAGGCTGCTGGCATTTTAAGCGGAATGGCCAAGGAGGGTGGGGGTGGGGCTGCCCAGAAAATGACCTACAGGAAGTGAAGAGCCAGTCCAGGCTGAGGGACCAGCAAGTGCAAAGACCAAGAGGTGGCATTGGGGCCACCAGGGCAGCAGAGAGGCACAGAGATAGCAAGAGTGGAAAGTGGCCAAACAAAACTGAGCTCAGGTGGCAGGGAAGCTCGTGCTCCGAGGGACTTGAGCAAAGGGGACCTGATCCACCCTGTGCTGTAAAAGGATCACTCCAAAGGCCATTTGAGAAAAGACTAAAGGGGGTACCGGCAAAAACAGGGAGTCCAGTCAAAGGCTGTTGAGATAATTCAGGCAAGAGATGCTGGCAGCCTGCCAAGGTCGTGCAGGGGAGCATGAGGTGGGGCAAGTTATGGCTGGGTTCTGGGTACGCTTTGAAGGGACAGCCAACTGGGTGTGTTGATGGAGCACATTTGGGGTTCGTGGGAGAGAGTGAAGAAGCCGGGATGGCTCCAGGGGGAGTTGGGAGCCCCCAGTGCAACATGGGCAGCACAGGTGCGACACGTGAGGGAGCACAAGTCCTAGACACACAGAGTGTGAGGTCCCAGCAGACATCAGGTCCCTCAAGGGGACAGAAGCTCATGAGGGCACCCAGGTGTCCACTCAGCCAACCCTCCTTCTTCTTTCTCTTCAGTCAGTCATAGGCAGTGGCACCTGGGAGGCCATCCACTCAGAAAGCCCTGTGAAATCTCCGAGATTCGCCCTTCTGGATCTGGAGAAAGGAAAGTCATATGTCTTCAGAGTGCGGGCAATGAACCAGTATGGCCTAAGTGATCCCTCGGAGCCCAGCGAGCCCATCGCCCTGAAGGGCAAGCCAGGTACTCACGGGGTACAGGGGATGGGTGGCAGGCAGGCAGGCCTGGACACCAGCCTCCGGGCCATGGGACTCAAGGCTTCAGGGACAGAACGCTGTCCATTCCTCATCCATGACCCCTTTGACCTATCACAACACTGAAATGCAACATGATCTCAGGCCTGGAAAATTTTAAGACATCAGAAATCACATTTCTCTGGACAAGACGCTCAAGGAGAGATGGATGTTTTTTCCAGATCAATAATTCACAATTTATAGAGTCCAGCAGGGTCCAGCACAGGAACCAAGTGTGAGCAGGTGACCCCTCAGTTCTAAAGGTCCCTGGCATGCTGCTGGAGTCCTGCCTATGCAGCTCAGAGCAGACCCCCACTTGCTCCCTGGTGGGGTTCATCTGCAGCCCAATGAGGGCCTGGGCAAGTCACTTCCAAGCTGCAAACCTTACTGTCCTCACCTGCCAGGCCATTGCTCTGACAGCCCTGGTCACTGCTTACCTCTCACAAGAGAGGACTTTTAGGACACACGAGCCCAGGGAATACTCTGGGCCTGGTAAAGAGCTGCCCACAGCCCCGGCATAACCTGAATTCACGCACCGACCCTGATGACTGCCAGGGCTCCTCCCCTGTCCCAGCCAGTCAGAGCCGTGTAACTCAGCATCCTCACTTCACACACAATTCTGTTTTCCAGCTACCCTCCCTCCTCCAGCTCAAGTTCAAGCTCTCCGAGACACACAGACCTCTGTCTCCCTGACCTGGGATCCTGTGAAAGGCGGCCCAGAGCTCCTGGGTTATTACATCTACTCCCGGGAGGCAGGGTCATCTGAGTGGCAAACAGTTAACAACAAACCCATCTTGGACAACAAGTGAGTCTGCCCACCCCTTTCCGTACCGGAATAGCCTCGAAGGAGATGCCCTGATAGGAATGAAGCCAAACATGTCACAGGACGTGCCCCGGCCTGGCACTGGTCTAAACATCTTTCTAGTGTCAGATCGTCTGGTTCTAACTGAAATTCTATACATTTAGGACTGTTCTTTTCATTACCATTTTACGGATGAAGAGACCAAAGTACAGAGAGGTTAAGTCACTTGCCAGAGCTCTCCTAGTCAGTAAGTGGAGGAACTGAGACTTGAACCCAGATGGTCTCTTCCACCGCACCTTTTCTGAGGACACACTATCTGTAGGACAGAGTAGACTTATCTCTCTAGCTGGGGGCTTTGAACTGGCATGGCAAGACTTGGGTTAAGTCCCCTCACCCTCCACTCATTGTTCTGGTGCCATACATAGGAGACCCACCCTCTTCAAGCCTTGGTCCCTCTTCTGTAATATGGGGGCTGTGGGTGGTGGAACCACCACTCTTGGCCTCCCAACATTCCAACTCCCAGTCCACTCTGAAGCTCACTCCCATCCACGATCTTCGAAGATTCATGTCTTAGCAGGTACAGTGAGTCTCAGGGCTTCTAACCTCATGACCTCTCCCTTTCTATCAGACAACTGGCCATACCCTGAGCACATCTGGCTGGGCTCCCCTTACCCTGGGCCATGACCTTCATGGTCAACTAGTCCCCCCCCAGAAAAATGGAGAGGCCCTGTGTGCACTGGTCTTGAGTGCCTCAGGGTCAGCTACAAGGGGTCACTCATAATTTATTACTAATAACAGATGAAGTTCTCAAGATGGACAATAATCAGGTTCTTGACAAATTAGGTCAGAGTCAAGGTTATGTCTAGAGTAAGACCTCTCCCCCTACGTGTATTTGAGTGTGCTTCCCTTAGGGGGAGGGCAGTGTTGAGGGATAGTTAGCATGGACAGAGTCACACAGATAAGCAACATGTCACATGTGTACATGTCACTTGTTACATGTGGTGCCCAGGGGTCAGAGCCTGGGGTGACAGCTAAAGGAAACTCAGTTCAGCTGGGCTGTGGAGGTCACTGAACTGTCAGGCCCGACAGAGTCTGGCTAATAGGAAAGGCTAAAAAATGTTGAATGAATAAATGAATGAATGAGGGGGCAGGTGCTGTACTGGAGCTCAGGAGACCTGGCTCTGGCTAAAGCTGTTCCTTGATCAGCAGTGGGCACTTCAAAACAGGTCTTGCCACCCATGGGAGCCCTTCCCCTCCCATATTCCAGCCCTCAGGACTCATCTCCAGAGGAGAGATAAGTAACAGTACCTTCCCTAGAGGGCGCTGTGACCAATACCCTGTTGATACGGACACAGTGAGTTTTAGCGTGTGCTGCTACTGTCATGGTTCAAGGTTGTCAGGAGTTCCCAAGGATGTAAATCATGCCAAGATTTTGCTACAGGAAAATGCTAATCAGTGAAAAGGGAGAAAGAGGACTACAGTTTGGGTTTTGGCAGAAGGGGCAGGATGAGAAGGAAATTTTTCTCTAAGTCAGAGTGTCCTCATACATGGTATTCCTCTGGATGACAGTTCTCTTGGGGTCTTTAAAAGAACTTTGTGGGGTTTTGTTTTTTGGGTTTTTTGAGACAGAGTCTTACTCTGTCACCCTCAGTAGAGTACTGATGCTTCATCATAGCTCACAGCAACCTCAAACTCCTGGGCTCAAGACATCCTCCTGCCTCAGCCTCTTCCCAGGTAGCTGGAACTACAGGCATCCGCCACAACACCAGGCTATTTCTAGAGATGGGGTGTCATTCTTGCTCAAGCAATCCTGAGCTCAAGCAATCCACCTGCCTTGGCCTCCCAGAGTGCAGGGATTACAGGTGTGAGCCACTACACCTGGCCTGACTTCCTGTTTTTGAATCACAGCCACTTGTTTTCAAAGTGTGAAATGAAGTGTATTGAGAAAGAGAAAGAGAGGTTTTTACAGAGTACGAGCAAGATCCAAGCTTACAGAGTGAGAAGGTTTACAAAGCAAGATACTTTTACTATACATAGCGATGGGCCCCCATTGTCACGACAAGAAAGGCCACCACTTGTTCTTTTTTAAGGACAAGCCCCAAAGTCCTGAAGATGTATCGTGTCCACTGTGGGGTTAATTTGGTGCCTTTCTCAGCATATTTGCATTTTTAGAGCGGGCCCAGAAGAGCAAATATCCCTTAAGACTATAAGGACTGGCTCGGCACCTGTGGCTCAAGTGGCTAAGGCACCAGCCACACACCTAAGGTAGCAGGTTCAAATCCAGCCTGGGCCCGCCAAACAACAATATGGCTGCAACCAAAAAATAGCCAGGCATTGTGGTGGGCGCCTGTGGCCTGTGGTCCCAGCTACTTGGGAGGCTGAGGCAGGAGACTCACTTGAGCCCAGGAGTTGGAGGTTGCTGTGAGTTATGCTGCTACGGCACTCTACCCAGGGGGACAGCTTGAATCTCTGTCTCAAAAAAAAAAAAAAAAAAAAAAAGACTGTAAGGACTACATCCCTATTGGTGCCACTTCAGGTATCACTGTGGGACCAGGAGCAATATTTTTATATTAGGTAAAGAACTGGCCGAGAACCCTAAATCCTACCACGCTGGTGGCCACTTATCCCACAAGGTTGTTCTAGAAAGTTCAGGAATGTCTCTGGGCTATTTGGCCATCCCTGAAGACTGCATGTTTCTCTCCCAGGTTCACAGTTCCTGGGCTGAGGACAGGGAAAGAGTACGAGTTTTGTGTCAGGTCAGTCAGCGAGGCTGGTGTAGGCGAGAGCTCAGCCGCCACCGAACCCATCAGGGTGAAACAGGCCCTGGGTAAGTGCGAGAGCAGGGCATGGGGGACTCGTGACCATGTCCTACAGGGTCTAATCTCAGGGTCCAATTGGGACGTAAACCCTCAGAAGGGAAGTGGAGCTGGGGCTAAGCACCCTTTCCTTTCAGAAGAATAAACAGTAGCTTAAGGCCATGGGATGAGGCCTGATCAGCTCCAGGGGGTGGGGAGGCTCCTGGGCCCAGAAACCTGAGGTCCAGGTGACCAACGGGGGGGCAGATGCTGCTGGCCCAGGGAGCAACCCCCGGAGCAGGGTGGGCACCCACTAGGGAAGGCTGCTTGGCTTTCTCAGTTCCCACTGCCCGATCCAGCCACCCCAGAGGGCAGCTGTCCTCACCTCCCTGCCTCCCCACAGCTACCCCATCTGCCCCATATGACTTTGCCCTCCTGAACTGCGGGAAGAATGAAATGGTCATTGGCTGGAAACCCCCCAGGCGTCGTGGAGGTGGCAAGATCCTGGGCTACTTCCTGGACCAGCATGACTCTGAGGAGCTGGACTGGCACGCAGTCAACCAGCAGCCTGTCCCCACCCGGGTCTGCAAGGCAAGGCTGGGCTGGGAGACGTGCAAGACAGGCTGACTCTGAAGGGGCCTGGAGTTCCCTGCCTTGGTCACCCCACTCTCCCTCAGGGAGGCCCCACTGTGGATGGCCCTGTCAAAGGCCCCTCAGACCTCCTGCTGGGTTTGCTCCCCGCCATTGCCCCACCTCTCTGCCCCCCAGCTCCACCTCATGGTCCATGTTTTTGTTCTTCAAGGTCAGTGATCTTCGAGAAGGCCACTTCTATGAGTTCCGTGCCAAGGCTGTAAACTGGGCGGGTGTTGGCGAGCTGTCAGCACCCAGCAGTCTGTTTGAGTGCAAGGAGTGGACAATGCCCCAGCCAGGTAAGAGGCCTGAGGCTTAGAGTCCAGTGCCGGCCCGCCCTCCCTCCCCAAACCTAACCAACGTCTGAATATCACTGCGCTGTTGGTGCACAGACGCCTGCTTTGACATCCCAGGCCCCAGGGCCTTCCACAAATGAACCCTGCAATCCCTGACACAGACTGAGTCCTAACCCTGCCTTAGACCTCTGACCTGGGCCATCATACAAACCATTCCCCAACTCGATACAATCTCTGATCTCTGCTTCTGGACACAGACTAACGGATTGGTGCTGGTTTGCCTGTGTCATTCCCCATTTCCTAAGAAGCCCATTAGTCCTAGTCAAATAAGAAAGGCTGACCACCCTCCACACTCCTACCAGAACCCTGTAAGCTGCTTACAAATGAGCCCGTCCCCTCCTGCCTAGGAAGGAACAGCCACAACCTTCCATCACTCTGTCTAGCCAGTCGTGTTTTCTACACAAAAACTTTACCTGAGTATGATTGATAATGACAATGCGTGATGCTTCTGATAACAATTATAATCAGCTAATATTTAGGTATTGACTATATACCAGATACTTTTGACACATTATCTCACTGATGTTCCCAGCAGTTCTATAAGATCTGCCATTATCCCCATTTCACAGATGAGGAGACAGGAGCACCAAGTTTGAGTAACTTGCCCAGAGTCCCCATAGCTGGAAAGGGTGGAGCTGCAATAGTCTGGCAGTCTGACTCTGGAGGTCACACCCTAAACACTGACACTAAACACTGAAATGGTGAAGACTTTAGAAGGATCAATGCTGTCTGGGGTAGGGCTGGGCAAAGTTGGGGAAGTTCCCAGGAAAAGGGGATTCTGAGCACGTTTTGAAGTGTTAACCCTAATCAGGCCCAGAGCCAAGCTTTTTCAGGTACCCCCTACACCCAGAGCAGGCACTTCCAGGCTTGACTGACATGTTTGCTGACAGACCACTTGCCTCACTGTCCCTCTGTCTGAATGGCCAGCTGGCTGGCTGGTTGCCTGGGTGCTAACTCCTGCGTCTCTGCCTATGTCTCATCTCCCACAGGTCCCCCATATGATGTGCAGGCAACCGAGGTGCGGGCCACCTCCCTGATGCTACAGTGGGAGCCCCCACTCTACACGGGGGCTGGGCCAGTCACAGGTTACCACATCAGCTTCCAAGAGGAAGGCTCTGAGCAGTGGAAGCCAGTCACTTCAGACCCCGTCTCTGGCACCCACCTACGGGTGAGTTCCTGCCCCTTTGTCTCCTGGCTGGCCCTGAGCTTTCCCTGCCACAGAACATAGCAGAACCACAGAACATCAGAGTTGGAACGACCCTCAGAGATTGCTACTCTCACTTAATGGAGACAGAGGACCAGAGAGGGAGAGTGACTTACCTATAGTCACACAGCAAGTTGGTAGTAGGTCTAGCCGTCTGGTGGCCTTAACCTGCTCCACACTAGGCAGACTTCTCCCTAAAAACTCACTTGGTGGGTAGCACCTGTGGCTCAAGGAGTAGGGTACCGGCCCGATATACCAGGGGTGGCGGGTTCAAACCCGGCCCCAGCTAAAAAAACTCACTTGGTAATCATCCAGGTATATGAGCATTTACATGTGCATATCTGTGAACCAGGAATTGTCCTTCTAGAATCGAATCACAGAGAAATAATCAGGCAAATATGGAAAGATCGAAGGGCAGTGACACTCACTGTAGCATTGGTTATAATGACAAAAGTCGAAAACAACTGAAGCGTCCATCAGTAGGGGGGTGGCTTAAAGTAATCACCGTGTATCCTTAAAGCGGACTTCCATGGCACCTAGTATTATCTAAAGAATAAGAGCAGTAGCTTAGTCCTGTAATCCCAGAACTTTCAGTCCAAGGCAGGAAGCTCGCTGGAGCCCAAGAGTTCAAGACCTACCTGAGCAACATAGTGAGACCCTGAATCTGCAAAACATGGAAAAATTATCCGAGAATGGAGTAGTCCCAGCTACTTCAGCCTGGGTGACAGGGCAAGACCCTATTTCTACAAATAAATAAATAAATATATATATATATATATATATATAATGAGGTGGAACTACATGTATATAGTAGCATAAAAATGTATCCATCACATGTGGCTAAGGAAAACAAAGCAGGACGTTTTGTTAGGACGTTTTTATGCCAGAGAGCATAATTACATCTATCACATTACAGTAAGACACCTAGCAGAACCATGGTTTTATCCTCCTGCAGTGATGGTGTAGAGAAAAGAACGCAGAGTAACATAACAAAGACGACTCACAAGTATTTGTGCCAGTCCCAAAACAAAGACCTCTCTTGAGGGATTGTTAGGGAACACAAATTACTAACTTAGACAGTCGGGACTGCAGCTTTCCACGGCCTCAGGCTACCCATAGCTCCACACCCAGAGCTGTCTCACGGGGCCTCTTTGATTTAAGGGACATCTGTAAGGACTAAGGATGATCCTGAGATGTGAATTAGGTTTCATTTTCTGCAGCTGTACAGAGAGAAGGACGATTTCCTCCAGGCTGTTTTCCTGAGGTGTCTTTCCCCAGCAGGCACGGGGTAGGGGGTGTACAGTTTTGGAGATCACTCATTTGAATTCCCTTAGTGAGCACCAGGAGGGAAGAAGGCAGGCTCAAAACGATATGGATAGATATTGAGATGAGATACTGGCCGGCCCACACTCTGTGAAGCCAAGGCAGGTGGATTGTTTGAGTTCACAGGTTCAAAACCAACCTGAGCAAGAGCAAGAAGTGAGATCCGGTCTCTAGTTAAAATAGAAAAACTGAGGCAAGAGGGTCGCTTACGCCGAGTTGGAGGTTGCTGTGAACTATGACGCCATGGCGCTCTCTACCTGGGGTGACAGCTTGAGACTCTGTCTCACACACAAAAAAAGAATGAGATACTAAAAAATAGAATATGACACATACCACATTTCTGTGCGTTTAAAAGTCTAAAAGGATTTTTCCAAATTGTTCATTATGGTCATCTCTGGGGGTAGGACTGCCGAAGGAGTTTAATTCTTTATTTTACATTCTTCTCTATTGCTTTAAGTTTTTTCCAACAAGACTGCGTTACTTTTATAACCAGAAAAAAAAAAATACTTTAATTTTGTAAAAGTGGAATCAAGGATATTTAAGGCAGAATGAAGGAGGATGTGTCTTGACCCTGGAATCCTCTGAGATTCTGCAAAGCTCTCACCTGCATGGCTGGTCTCTCCATCTCAGCACATAAGTTGATCCCCGGCCAGGGCAGGACAGACTCGGGGACTTGTAGACAGCTGCTACATAAGGATGGCTGGCCATCATTCACTCACTCGGGCATTCACTAAACACTTTTTTTTTTTTTGAGACAGAGTCTCACTTTGTCTCCCTCTATCAAGTGCTGTGATATCATAGCTCACAGCAACCTCAAACTCCTAGGTTCAAGTGATCCTCTTGCCTCAGCCTCCCAACTAGCTAGGACTACAGGCATCTACCACAATACCTGGCTATTTTTAGAGACAAGGTCTCACTCTTGCTCAGGCTGGTCTCAAACTCATGAGCTTAGGCAATCCACCTGCCTCGTCCTCCCAGAATGCTGGGATTACAGGCACAAACCACCGTACCCAGGTTCACTAAACACTTCTTGATGTCTACTCAGTGCCAGGTCTGGACTAGGTCCTAGGTATGAAAAGCTAAGTAAGTCCCAGTTGTTGGGTAACAGGTAATTACAATATCATGTAATAAATGCTACAATTGAGGGGGCAGGGTTTGAGGAATTCTGGGAGCTCAAAAAGAAAGGTCAGAGATGCTCCCTGGAACCTTGTACCTGCCTGAGCTGAGCAGTAAAGGGCAAGTTGGAGTCAGCTAGACCAGGAGGGGAGGGCCCTCCAGACTCAGCAAGGGCAAAAGCAGAAACCAATGATGTGAGGAGCATGGGCCGCTGAGGGGCTGATGCAGGAGTGAGAGGACAGCAGGCTCAGGGAGCGTTAGGTACTGAACTTCGAAACT